TGGGCAGCAGTTGTGCGAAAACACTCATAATTTAGAACGATTATAAAACCAAATGCAAGAGTGCTTGGCCGCCTTGCGCATCTTGTTAATTTTGCCTCAAAGTTAACGGTGAATAATGAGATACGAGAAGATAGATAGCAAACTGTTTATTGGCAATAGAAAAAACTTTATCAAACACCTGCCACCAAAATCGCTGGCCATATTCAATGCCAATGACATTTTACCCGGCAATGCCGATGGCACCCTGCCTCTGGTGCAAAACCGCGATCTATTCTATCTCACCGGTGTTGACCAGGAGGAAAGTATTTTGGTAGTGTTTCCCGATGCTTACCAGGAGCATCACCGAGAAATTCTCTTTGTAACCGAAACCAACGATGAAATTGCCCGCTGGGAAGGTGAAAAACTTACCAAAGCCGCAGCCACAGAAGTTTCGGGCATCAAAAACGTACAATGGCTCAAAGATTTTGATAAAATCATGAAAGACCTGATGAGCCAGGCCGAAAACGTTTACCTCAACACCAACGAACACCTTCGCGCCCCCGTAGTAGTGGAAACCCGTGACGATCGTTTCCGCAAAGAGTGGCAAAAGAAATACCCCCTTCATACCTATAAACGTGCGCAGCCCATTATGCATCGCCTGCGCGCTATTAAATCTCCAATTGAAGTGGAAATTATGCGCAAAGCCTGCCAAATAAATACACAGGCCTTTAACCGCATTCTCAGAAAGCTTAAACCCGGAGTTAAGGAATACGAGCTGGAAGCTGAATTTTTGCACGAGTACGTAAGCCACGGCTCTCCCGGCTTTAGCTATACGCCCATTATTGCTTCAGGTAAAAACGCTTGCGTATTGCACTACATTGAAAATCACGATGTGTGCCAAGACGGTGAACTGGTGCTATTTGATTGTGGTAACTGGTACGCCAATTATGCCAGTGATGTTACGCGGTGCTTTCCCGTAAATGGAAAATTCACCGACCGGCAAAAACAGATTTACAACGCGGTATTGCGCGTGCAGAAAAAATCGTTGGCGATGCTGCGCCCCGGAAATCAACTGCACGAGTACCATAAAGAAGTAGGTAACTTGATGACCGATGAATTGCTTCAGCTGGGCTTAATTGACAAGACCGATGTAAAAAATCAGGACCCCAACTGGCCGGCCTATAAAAAGTATTTCATGCATGGCACCTCGCATTACATTGGGCTTGATGTGCACGATGCCGGCTTGTGGACCGAAAAAATGGAGGTGGGCAACGCCTTTACCTGCGAGCCCGGCATTTACATCCCCGAAGAGGGCATTGGCATACGCATTGAAGACGATATTGTACTTGGCGAGAAAGAAAACCTGAACATGACGGCTGGCATTCCTAAAGAAGTTGAGGAAATTGAAGAAGCCATGAATTAATTTTGCCCGCACTATTTCCGGTCAGCGAATAAACTATGCCGTTTATCTAACTATTTGAACCGATACCAATCAATTTGTCAATGACGGCCAATGGCCCACTGAAACAGTGTTCCACGAAAATACACGGTTGCGCGCCCATGTTTTTTAACACTGTATATATTTGATTTACTGCGGTTTAACCTTTTTGCACCCACAAATGGTGTTACAAATTATATTTATATATTTGAACCATGTCTGGTGTAAAGGATATCAACTTTCAGG